TATTTTTGTGTGTGTCTCTTATCTTATCTTATTTGTTATATTCTGCGTCGTATTCCCCAGTTTATCATACTCTTTTCTCTGTTTGTGTTGTTCTGGAAGATTAAAATTCTCAATAATAATACATTCGAAGTACGACTAGTTTTACCCCTTTGTTGTTAATGTTTCCAAGGTTAATCATTTGCATTGTTTCACCATATATTAAATATGCGTCGAGAGTAAATGGTAATGTCATTTTTTTTTATTACTACTACCTTCATCATCTTTACTGAAATCGTAATATCTTTTTGCTGTAACATTTCAATAATATTAGTAATAACTTTTATTATCGATGTCGTGTTATAATAATAATTATTATTATAACTCTCAATATCGTTATTATATTACAAATATTTTTATTATTATTATTATTACTATATTATTACCATAATTATTATTGTTATTGTTATTATTATTATTATTATTATTATTATTATTATTATTATTATTATTATTATTATTATTATTATTATTATTATTATTATTATTATCATTATCATTATCATTATCATTATCATTATCATTATTAATATTATTATTATTATTATTATTATCATTAAAGTAATAATAATAATAATAATTATTATTATTATTATCACCATTATCATTATAAATATCATCATCATTAATATCAATGATAATAGTAATAATGATATTTAAGAATTTGCCTCATGTAGGAGGCTCTTTCAGATTTTATTAATACAATATCCTATCAATGACGTCATAAACTGTATTTCCGGTGCTATGACCCATTAAGAAAAAAAAAGTAGCATATGCATTAAAGCACTTCGGTTTGCATGTTTTATCAACTTCCTGAAAGCTCCAGGCTTATCCTTATCAGCGGATAACCAAACTGCAAAGATTTCAAAGATAAGACAACATGCAATCCTTACATGCTTACCAATCCCTCCGCAAAGGATGATTTTATTTATCTATGTATCAATTTTTGTGGAGTAAGGCACTGATATTGAAACTGTTGTGGAATATTGTATTTACTTTAAATCGCACATTTAATCTCTCTCTAATATATATATATATATATATATATATATATATATATATATATATATATATATATATATATATATATATATATATATATACTTATTGTTCGTCATAACTCAGATATTCACTGTTGCCATCATGAGTAGTATCATGGCCATTTTTTAGCCTGCTCATGGTTTGTAATTATTTCTCATACATTTCTAAATCTTCCAGACCCAGATCCGGCATCATTAAATCCGAAACACAAATGCATTTGCTAATGCTCCCTCGCTGACGGAAATGAATAAATGAATGAAACTTTGCGTTATATTACCTCTCTTCAACTACCTAGAACAGTGAATCCTTTTTTATAGAAAGGGGGTTCGTTATTCAATGTAATATGCCAATTCAAACCCGTTACCTCTGACCAGAAAACTAGATCAATATATACCGATACGTACGTCCATACCGGAACAAAATTAACTCAACACCCTTCTTCTAGGTGTAAGATTATATGCGCAGCCCATGTAACACAAGGCATATATCATACACATAGGCTTAGGCAAACTTTTTCTGCTGTTCACAAACAAGCCGACAGTGTGAGGAAAGAATTTGAGTGAATGAACATGTACTGACCTCAGGGTTACGAAGTTAAGTATTTTGAAAAAAGTCTTTAAATTGTTATTATCTTTTCAATGCATTTTAAAAGTGAGTGTGTGAGTGAGTGCGTCAGTGAGTGAGTGAGTGAGTGAGTGAGTGAGTGAGTGAGTGAGTGAGTGAGTGAGTGAGTGAGTGAGTGAGTGTGTATATGTGTGTATGTGTATGTGTGTATATGTGTGTGAATATGTATGTGTGTGTGTGTGTGTGTGTGTGTGTGTGTGTGTGTGTGTGTGTGTGTGTGTGTGTGTGTGTGTGTGTGTGTGTGTGTGTGTGTGTGTGTGTGTGTGTGTGTGTGTGTGTTTGCCAGGGCCGGATTTAAGCTTGACGAGACCCTAAACTGTGAGAAGCTTTGAGGTCCCTTAAAATAAAGGTATTACGAAACTTGAAAATAGAAATGTTTTAAGCATAATATAACATAATATAAAGGAACAAAATACTTATATAGATGTAATACACAATAAATTATATATAAAACAGAGGCCCTTATTTAGTGGGTAAGGCCCCAACCTTGTTCATTTAGCTTTTATGTAAATTCATCCCTGGTTTGTGCATCTGATGAGTAAATCTAAGGCGTTTTTGGAATGGTAGAATATGGAGGTATTAGGTCATGTACCAAGTGCTGGCTTCACTTTCTCGTTGACCTCGTATTGGAACCCATTCCACTCTATCTTCTAGTTATCCCTTAGAAACATTATATTTTCTTTGGTTCGAAGGGTATTGCCCTTGTGGTAGAAAACGAGATATTACTTTTGAGGGGATTTTGAATAATTCATCGCCAATAACTTAAACAACAAAATCGTTCACAACAGAACACTGGGCTTCTCTACATGACTGCACACCAGGTATTATACACCCAATGCACATGTGTGTATAAAATAACACTATAGAGCTTTATGGGACTCGCGCTAAGCACAACACAGACAGGCTCGAGCATGGAAATGCTTGGGCTGCCTGATTCACCATACACGAATCCAAACGTAAAATTGGCGTTACAGCCCACACAAAAAAACAATGGATCTTCTCCAGAGATACAAACAAGCACGGGGCTTCTAACCATTTGTAAGATCAAAAACAGTCTCATTGACATAAAGAAACATGAATATTTACCGAAAAAACACACACGTGGGACGCGAAAGTCACACAACAAAACTCTCTCATGTCACACAAGCACTACTTCTACATCTCACATACCGCACGCGACTGGAACAGGTTACCAAGTACTGCATAGAAACAGGGACAATCGGAAACTTTCCAAAACGATTTTATCAACCACCCTGCTCACCTTCACGATCCCACCATTTACACCACAATCCTTCCCCTCATTCCTAACAACCAATCTTACATACGTGATACGCACACCCTACGGATCGGAAACCGAGACAGATTACCCTTCCAGCCGAATTGCCTGCGTCGCTCTTTGGCGTGGCGCGCATTGTGACTCAATGGATTGCAACTGACGGACTTAAAACTCAGATTCATTGCAAACCCCTGGGAGTATCAATATTATCAACGATACTGCAGTGGCAATAGCAGCGTTGGTTACGTTATACTAACTGATGTATTGTTAACAATTAAGGTAGTAGGAATAATGATGGTAATTAGCAGTTAACATACTAATCTAGTTATAGTAATAAGCAGTTCAAAAACAATGCTTATAGTTAACAATATGTTCAGTATTAATATAATAGATTTGACGATATTATTCAAAATACATACACACACACACACACACACACACACACACACACACACACACATATATATATATATATATATATATATATATATATATATATATATATATATATAGGGGAAACTGGGGTAAGATGAACCGTCGGGTAAGATGAACCACCTCTTGTGCTGACGTCATTACAAATCTCGTAAACCTGTGGTGCCATCCACCCGAGGCCTTCTATCATCACAGGCCTCTGACGGAGCTACACGTTCTTATTTGCAGTGTATCAGTTTTTATGTGATAAAGACTCTATCTTGGACCAAAAAGTGAAATATTGTTAATTGTAATTAACAGTTACTACTGTGGTAAGTATTTGTGCTATTTTCATCTTATACTATTAAAGGCTTGTTCACTTTTTGACTATTCTTCTGCCCATGTTTCATTTCGATTCGACTCGAAGCACCGTGTTGGCAACTAATTTATTCAAAATGGTTGTCGTGGGGTAAGATGAACCTTTAAAATTGGGGTAAGATGAACAGATGGTTCATCTTACCCCAACAGGCTTTTTAATATTATTTTGCAAATTTCTAGTTGTATTTAATGTGGTATTTGATTTCAGATGCCACGAAATTATGTTAGAAAGACACAACGGGCTGCTGTTCCCCTTGATGTTATGAAACGAGCCGCTGATGCATTCATTGCTGGTGCTAGTTTGAGAGAAGTATCACGCAATTTTGATATTGACAGAGCCACACTGCGTCGTTTTATCATGAAATCTAGAGGCAAAGCAGATAATGAAATCCAAACTGGATACAAAAGACTATCGGCATCCAAGCGCATATTCACTCTTCAAATGGAGAACGATATTTCGCAAGAGTTGATATTGTGGATGGCAATGAGCTAGAGGGAGTTTTCATGAAGAAAACTTCAGGACATAGGCTTGAAGAAGAGAAACCGGCTTTTATTATTGACCACAGTGATGAGGCATCATTCCATAAGCAAGATGTATTGAAGGTTCTATCAGCCCCCAAAAATATGCGTGGAAGTCTACGTAAATCAAACCAGCTAGTTTTCCCCTGTGACTTAAAAAGATTTAATTTGTCATAACTTTAGTAATGGGCATTATTGGACATTAATCGTTATGTTTAGATCTTAATTTCGCTTAAAGGAAGGATTGAAGTATACTTGCTAATAAAATTTTGAAATATCTCCTGATTTTAAGAATAATTTCTTTTCATTCTCTTATCTTATGATGCGGTTCATCTTACCCCGAAAAGTAGGGGTAAGATGAACCTTTTTGAAAAATCTTTGAAGTCCCTAAAAATGTCGAAAATGTATGCAGATAATAGAATTTTTTCCCATGTTGAGAGGTAAACAGCTAATGTAGAAATTAATGCAGAGAGAGACCGACTGGTTTAAATGATAAGGGTTCCAGGTCAAAAAATCTGAAAAGTGGCTCATCTTACCCCACTTTCCCCTATATATATATATATATATATTTGTCTAACCCAACTAAGGATCACGCAAAGATCTTGCTAATGATGGAATATTACTCCAACTTTTCGTTTTTCCAATTTGTTAATCACACTGAATTATCTAACCATGTTTTGGTTATAAAACTATTTGCATTTTGCGTTCCGTTTTATTAACCCGTAAACATACTGATACAATCAAAAAGCACTTGCCTGTAAACCCAGGTCTTATTTAATGAAGTCCTGTAGCGTTTTGCCATTTGGTAACATTATGAAGGATATTATATCACATTGCTTTTCAAAACCAAGTGATTTGTGGTAACTGATTGAAGCAGTATTGGTGTGATTGGCCATAATTCGCACTGTTATATCTAGCTGCCGGAGCGTTTCTGCCATGGCAAGGGTCGCCGCTGTGCCTAGGCCTCGACGGCGGTACTCGGGGACAGTGAAGGTGTTACCCAAGAACCCGTGTCTGTACAGCAAACTCCAGGCGACAAGACGACTTCTAACGGGAGGACCTGGCACTCCCTTTTCCTCCAGGACTTTCTTCCGGATGGCCACAGAGGGCTGGTTGGTTATGATGGACTCCAGGCCCTTTTGGGTTTCCGTCCAGTTATATTCCCAGCAAGATGCGACAGTTGGTCCGTCCTCAGCACGGAGGGTGTCGATGTAAAAATCTTCAGGGATTCTGTAAGTATAAAACCTTCAATTACTAAATAAAGTCATTCGTGTTTTATATACCGATCGTATTATTATCGTCATCTAAGATAGTGAAGTTCTTATGTGATGGTATTACTATGTCGAGAAAATTACTTGATCTGCTGAAGTTTCGAGGCATCCAGACAGTAAAGGGATCCGTCAAACACTTTGTGACTCCACATCTGCTCGTCCCCAAGCCTTCCACGTTTCTTCAATTCCTGTATCTGCGAGATTATGCCATTACTAGTATGATCTTAAACCAACAAAGTATTATACAGGTTCAAGTTCGAGGTTTCATTCGCACATTTTGCTTCACCTGGAAAAGGTAACAAATCGAATAAAGCATCTGCAACAAGTTTCATTGTGGCGATTCCACGTGACAACTAACCTTCGTGTAGATAGCGACAGGATGAACTCGAAAATAGACGGGCGCCGACCAGTTCCAGCCAGGAAGCGTCCTCAGCAGACGGACTACTTCCTCGTCGTCCTCTTCCTTTGTGTCCCAGAATAAAGTCAGATTCTGTATGTGTTCCTGATGACAAATGTATTGATTGATTGATTTTAGATTTTTTTCATCTATTTATTCATTTATTTATTTATTCTTTAAGATTGAGTATCTTTGAGTGTCCATGCAAAACATTATCCTAAAAAGTATACTTGCCTGTGAGCACGAAGGTGTAACCACAATCAACGACGAAACTCTTGAGCCTTCAGGTACGTACACCTTATTATCAAGTTTCTGTTGCACAAGTATCAGCACATCCAGGAAACCCCTCACCTGTAGCGACAAAATCATAACCTTAAATCTTTAAATTGAAATGAAGCTTCGAGAATGGCATAACACTTAGTGTATTATGTGAAGTTCACAGAGAGAGAGGGGGGGGGGGGGGAGAGGGAGAGAGAGAGAGAAAGGCGAGAGAGAGAGAGAGAGAGGGAGAGAGAGAGAGAGAGAGAGAGAGGGAGAGGGAGAGGGAGAGAGAGGGAGAGGGAGGGAGAGAGAGGGAGAGGGAGAGAGAGAGAGTGAGAGAGAGAGAGTGAGAGAGAGAGAGTGAGATAGTGAGAGAGTGAGAGAGAGAGAGTGAGAGAGTGAGAGAGAGAGAGTGAGAGAGAGAGAGAGAGAGAGAGAGAGAGAGAGAGAGAGAGAGAGAGAGAGAGAGAGAGAGAGAGAGAGAGAGAGAGAGAACACAAGTTATTTTCAAAGAGCATATAAAAGTACTCACGCCAGCAGAGTGTGGCAGATACTGGGTCATCTTGTCCCTCAGAGCCACCAGGTCCCTCTTCTCCGACACTTCACGAAGCCTAGTCATGGTGCAAGGGAGGACGCGCTCTGTGCAAAGCGTTCGGGAACAAAGCCAAGAGATTGCAAAGTTCTTCGTCCTCTTCTACGTAGGTGATGACGTCAGCTG